CACTTTTCGAAACAAAAGTGTATGCGTTCTTATAGAAACGAGAACCATTATAAAGAGATTTTTCAAAACACTTTCAAAGCCCACACCACAAGCACACTGTCAAACAAAAGCAAGTGATCTAAACGAGTAACTAAGAGCCCATGGAAAACCATGGATGAAAAGGGTGCTAATACCTTCCCTTTTCATAATCTACCCCCCGAACCCGAGAAATAATCTCGAAAGGTCTTTCCTGTGCTTTTTTACCTTTCCTTTTGGATAAAATAAAAGTTGGTGGCGACTCTTGCTATCCGCACAAATGCGATCGAAACGCAAACAAACATCAAGTCAGTTCTCCCACCGTATCACAGACGTGATACATGTTTACAAGGCTATCACTATGGATAACTATCACAAAGGGGTTGGCATTAGTATGTTAAAAATCACATGAAATTTCAGAATTCACTTCAACAATTATATATATATATATATATATATATATATATATATATATATATATATATATATATATATATATATATATATATATATATATATATATATATATATATATATACTAGCATATGACAAAATACGAAAATCCACATTAAACATGGTAATTGGCATGAATTTATCATTAACACATACAAGACTCATAAACTCAACAATTGGGGAATAAAACCTATTTGAGGGTGAGGACCCCTGTATACCCCATCATGCAATATACTCATAGAAGAAAAATTCCCCCTTACCTGAATTTCCAGCAAGCAGAAGTTCAAATCTCTTGGTTATGGTTGCCTCTTTCTCACAAAAACCTTTGTTCTTCACTCTTGCCTCTTTTTCTCCCACTTCCACACTTTTCTACGTAACACTCATTTTTCTCCTCACACATTCTATTTACTTTAACCTAAAATGTTATTAATCTAATTTAATCTTTTAATAATTTCACCTTGGCCCAACTTCTTTCATAATTCTCACCATTTCCCTTATTTTCTCATAGTTTTTATTTTCCACCCACCTCTATTTTCTAATTATTTTAATTTTATTTCATTATTTTAAATCAACTAAAATCATTATAACCTCCAATAATCCTCATAAAATTATATAGCATATAATTTCACTAAAATAATCAATTAAATCACTAAATAAATAAATAAAAGCAATTATTGACTTGATTAAAAGAATTACGAGAAACTGGGTGTTACAATGATGGCTCTTAATGAAGTGGTTAATCTTGAAAGGGTCTTGAAGCATGTAGTTTTATCTTTAAAATGGACTTTGAGAAGTCACATGACTTGGTTATCTAGTCATTTTTTAATTATATGTCGAGGAGATTTGAGTTTAATGGGAAGTAGAAGGCCAAGATGAGGGTGTCTGTTTTTTTTTTGGAGTTTTTTCATTTTGGTGATAGGTGTCCAACATAAGAGATAAATATTTAAAAGAGACTTAAGAAAGTGGATCTTTTGGCCCCTTTCCTTTTTCTCCTTGAATGTCCAAGCAAGACAAGTACTTAGGAGCCCTTTTTAGAGTTTGTGGAAAGCTTTTTGCATTGTAAAATCAGGAAACTCCCTTTTAAGTATTTAGGAGTTCGGGTGGGTACAAGTCCGGGTAGGACAGGTACTTGGGAGCCTCTGGTTAAGATGGTAACTAAGAGGTTTTCTTCATGGAAGAATGAGTTTATGAGTATTAGGGGTAGAGTGGTCCTCTTGAACCTGGCTCTAAGGTATATTATTATTCTCTTTATTTATTTTATGAAGAAGTTCGTGTTAGTCTAGAAGAATCTTGTTGGATTTCAAACATGATTTCTTTGGGAAAATACAGTAGTAGTAATAAGGGTGTTTCAAGTGAGAGGATGTGTATAAAGCTAAGAAATTGAGAGGATTGAGTATTAAGGACATGGGGCACGTTAATTTGGATCTTCTTTGCAAGTGACATTGGAGACTATTGGAGATCGAGTTTGCCTTATGTAAGGATATTGTTTTAGAGAGGTCTAGACCCTCCGTAGTGAAATCTCATAAAGGGGATATGGAAGGGAATCTCAGGATATTTTCTCCCTAGTGTATGTATTTCTCTCTCTCATTGCCTCCAAGGGTGAAAAGTCATCAGATTGGTTTGCTTCGCCTATTTGTAAGCAGGTTAGGAAAGCGTTGAATAACAGGTTCTGGCATGACGTGTAGATTGGGTTGAATTTGATTTGTGTGACTTTCGAGTAGTTATTCCTAATTTTTGAGCAAAAGTCCCAAGGGATGAGTAGGATGGGGAGATGGGCAGGAGGAATCTGTATTTGGGAGTTTAAGTGGAGGAAAAGGTTGCTTGTTTCAGAGGAAAACCTTATGGATGATCGTAACAGTTCTACTAACGGGATGGTTAAGCAGGATAAGGAGGATCCTGAGTTTGGTCGACATACAATTACATGTCCTCCTCTAATTACATGGGTTAGGATGGTGATGAAAAGTTTGGCGCCTTTCAAAGTTGTTATTTTTTTTGGCTACTTTTACAGGACATGTTGGCTATTATGCTTAAGCACAGTAGGCAGTGCATTATTCAAGAAGATAATGAGTTGGGGTGTGTTGTGTGTTTGGGGCATGATAAGTTGAGGGATCACTTGTTTGTCTTGTGTCATGTTGCGTCTTTTGTGTGGTATAAGGTTCTTAAGTGGATTAGTATGCCTTTTTCTCTTCCGCGGTCGATCTTAAGAGTGTTCGAGGGGTTTCAAAGGTTAGGCAGAGATAAGAGGTTGGTTTTTAGATCCATTGGTGATCTGACATGCAGTGGTTTTGACTATCAAAAATACATGCAACACAATAACTTTTTACAGGGAAAACTTGTCGATTAATTACAGAGTGACCATAATTATTTGCCTCTCTTTGAAGTGGTGTGTTATCTGGCTGACTGCCTCTCTAGTTTCATTAGCGCTCCCATGTCTTTCACCGTCTTGTTTCTTGCAGGGGTTCTCTTCTCCTATGGTTCGAGAATCTTCATTGGCTTTTGGGAGAGTTGGTGTGGTAGCTATTCGGCCGATGTTTCTTGAATATTTTTCTAATTTTTCCTTTCGTTGTTTTACTATATATAACAAAAGAGTACCTTTTAAAATAAAATGAGTAATAATTAAAAGGGTTAAATATATTTTTGATCCCTATAAATATCTCAATTTTAACTTTTATCCTTATAAAAAAATCGAATTTTAGTCTTTATAAAATTACTTTTATACGCGGTTTTAGTTCCTGTGAAGGAACCAAAATTACGTGCAAAAATAAGTTTATAAAGATTAAACAACTATTTTTTTTATAAAAATTAAAAATTATTTTTAATAATTATATAATGACTAAAAATATATTTAATCTAAACAAAGAGAGGATAAGCTTCAAAGTCAGAATAAAGTGAGTAATAATTAAAAAGAGAGGATAAGCTTCAAAGTCCAACTAGTTATGGCATCTTTGACTTAGTTTATTTTATGTCATAAACTCTGTTTGAAAGACTTTATTAAAATAAAGTATATCGTTTATTCATAAATTTTTTGAATTTATTTTTATAGAAAAATAATTTCTTTCATAAATATTTATTTTGATAAATACTTGAATTATAAACTACAAATAAATTATTTATTCAAACATACCATTAGTTTATTGAACCTTATGGTTCCTTTGTATAATTTGAGTCTTGCCCAATTTTATGTTCAACTTAATAATTGTTAAATGTTAAATCTACTTACAACCAAAATAGTAGAAAAACAGTACTCAAAAACCGCGTCCTTCTCAAACCGCTGCAATAACACAATGTATATAGTAGTAATTTCTCTCATACCATTTACTCACTCTGCTTTTGTATTCTAGAGAGACCCTAGATTTGAAACAAAACCAACGCGCTTCTTAAATATAAATAGCATGCATGCTTGTATTTTTCATACCTTCAAAAGAATTTAAATGTTTTAACTTTTAACCAAAACCACATAAATGACTCGTTGTTTGGCGTTTCTTCTTCTTCTTCTTCATTTTCTGTTTGTGTTGTGTAGTTCAGAAGCAAAAGTTGTGACTATTGATGTACAAGCAGCCAAGAATCTCATCCAGACAGATCACGTTTATCTTGATGTTAGGTAACCTATATATATATATATATATATATATATATATATATATATATATATATATATATATATATATATATATATATATAAGATTCTTAAAAACAAAATTATTTAAGGTACTTTATAATTATTGATGTTTTTTTTTTGTCTCTTTGAGTTTTGTTGGTAATTTGTAGGACGGTGGAAGAGTTTGTGAAAGGACATGTGGATGCAGCTAAGATCATTAATATTCCTTACATGGTAGATACATCTAAGGGTAACAAAATTTTCAATCTCTCATAATTTTTATAATAAGATTATTTATTACATATGTTTTTTTATCTTATTTAATAATATGTTAAGATTTATTGCAAATTCTACGGTAAAAAGCTTAAGATAATTTGTTTTTGGAGACCAGGCAGGGTGAAGAATCAAGATTTTCTAAAGGAGGTTTCATCTGCTTTCAACAAAGAAGATTATGTTGTTGTGGTAATTAATATTTTATTTGTATAAGTTATTTATATTTTATAATTATTTCACTACAAATTAATACAAATAAATAAAAACATTTTCAGGGTTGTAAAAGTGGGGTGAGATCTCTATATGCAACTTCTGATCTTCTAGTTGATGTAAGTTAAGTCATGCTTCAAGAAATTGAAAAAAAAATTCATACCTCATTTAATAAAGGATTTAGTCTTTGAAATGTATACTTATTTGTATTGACTTGAATTGAATTGATAGGGTTTTAAGAATGTGAAGGACATGGGAGGAGGTTATATGGATTGGGTTAGAAACAAGTTTCCAGTGAAGACACCAGAAGCCAAAGAAGAGCTATAATCAATTATGTTACAACTTTTAGAGTTAATAGAATATCTACTTATTACATATTCCCTCAATTATAAATAAATTTGATTTTTTTTGTTCAATAATTAATGTATTTCTATATAGTAGATCAAATATATCAATTGTTGAATGAATTAAAAAAATTGCTTATAAGATTAATTGGAGGGAGTATTTGTTTTAGAACAGGGCATCTGTGAAATAATTGTAATTCATTCCAAAAACATGCACAAAGGCTTATTCTAAGTCTTGTTAATGGATCTTTTTTACGTGTATATATGAGAACGAGAAAGACTGCACTGATGATGAAGTATTTTGATAATGAAGATTTTGATTCCGCATGTTTTATAAAAAAGTTAAGCATCAGAAGTATTGAATTTTTTGAGAGTATAAACTTTGCTTATGTATAGTAATGTTGTATCATTTAAATAGTTTTTAAGAGAATTAATTTTGTCATCTAAAAAGAGATAGCGATTAACTTATTGCCTATTTGTTTAATATTTTTATATAATCTTAATTTTAGCTAAGTAATGATAATTATAATTGGAAACACTAAAAGAGAATTAAGAAAAATCACGAACTTGAGCAAACCATCGACTCAAAAAAATGTTAAGATAAAATTTGAACTATTGTGGAAATTTTGCTTAAAATTTGTTTGGGAGTTTGAAGGGAAAGGAGGAGGGGAGCTTTGAAAAAAAAATAAAAAGGTGACATATTCTCAAGAAAAGAGAAGAAGTCACATGAGAGCACCACATATCAAGTGGTGGCTATTGAAGGGAGAAAAACAAGAAAATTTTCTAACACAAGATTTTGGAGGGAAGGTTGGGAAAACCAAAAGAAAATGCAAATGATATGTGGAATATGATGGCTCACATCCAATGATATGGCTTCTTACCAACCGATGGTGAAATATCACTATCTAAAGGAGGAGGAAAAGAACAAAGACATTTTGAGTAAGTAGATTGCTCGTAATTGCTTTCTCACAAACAAAATCATTTACACCTCACACTTTCAAAACACTTTTCAAACAAACATTTTGTATACATTCTCAATGATACAAGAATCATTACAAAATGGTCTTACATTGGCATTTTCAAACATCTTTCCAAACACTTCCTTTCAACAAACATTTTCAAAACCAACACTTTGTATACATTCTCAACGATGTGAGAATCATTGCAAAATTTTCCGAACTAAGGCGTTTTCAAAATATTTTCAAACTTATACAAACACAAAGCATTTCAAAGTGAGCTAGCAATTAAGAGCCCGTAGATAACTACGGATGAAAAGGATGCTAATACCTTCCCTTTTCATAACCTACCCCCCGAACTCAAGAAAATTCTCAAAAGGTATTTCCTGTTCTTTTCACCATTTCCTTTATTGGATAAAAGAAAAGCCGGTGGCGACTCTTGCTATCCGCAACATTTGCGATCAAACGCAAAACATCCAAGTCAATTCTCCTACCGTATTACATTGAGCAATGACTTCCTTTTGATCTTCTCTCAATTGACATACTTCTTCATTTCTGAGGCATAACTTCTTGTATGAAGCAACAAGTTCCTCAAAAGTGAGTTCTTCACAATCTGATTCTTCATCATAATCACAAATTCCAATCAAGGCAGTAACCTTTTGATAGATTACTCTTCAGGATCACTTTCAGAATCATCTTCTAACCATGATGATATAGACCCTTCTTCTGCTTCTTGAGATAAGTGGGACACTCAGCTCTTATGTGTCCAAACCCTTCACATCTCTGCCATTGGATTCCTTTTCTTTGGTTAGCCTTTTCTTCAGTTCTGGGTCTTCTCCTAAAATCCTGATTTTTGTTTATGTTGAGTGACTTGTTCTTGACATTTGATCTTGACTTCCAGTCCATATTCTTCATCATTTTGTTGAATTATCTTCCAAGTAACACAATAACATTAGATATCCTTTCATCTGTATCAATGTCACATTTATCTTCTAAGTCTTCAACATTAAAGACAAAGGCAATGCTTTTCTTCTTTTCAGACTTTTCATTGATCCTTAATTCAAAGGTCTGTAGAGATCCCATAAGTTCATCAAATTTCATGTTGTTTATATCTTGGGCTTCTTCAGTGGCAGTTACCTTTATGCCAAACCTCTTTGTAAGTGTTTGGATGTTGGCATGTTTTTTTGGTAAAACCAGTTGTGTGAATGTCATGACTGATGTCATAACATTCTGGGATACAAGGTACATTATGCAGAAAAAGAATGTCATACAGGAGTTGCTCAATATGAGTGTTTAGCTGATCATTATGTAATGATCACATTTATTGCATTCTACCAAAATCTGTAAACAGGATTCTTGTTGTCATAACCAATGTTAAGACATCCTGTACTGAACTAACACTTGTGCAGATTTATTATTTTCTGAGAAGTTTCAGGAATCTGGTTATTCAGTCCAGATCAGATTCTCTCGTGGACTTAGGTTAACTTTGCTTAACCCTAATCTGGTTGTTAAAGTCCCATGACCAGGTCTTGAGGTTAACCCTAATTAACCCTAGCTATTTTCGTGGAAGCCCTAACTGAAGAATAGCAGCCTATATATTCCTCATGAAGACTGTTGGTGAAAGACACTTTTGACAGAAGATCAATAAGGGACTGTATAGTTATAACTACTGTAATCCAAGAAATTATCATTGTGATAAGTGACTTGGAGTAGGATTTGATTGTAAGGGTTGTGTATCACTCAAAGCTTTGAAGCACGAGTGTTTGTGTCACTTGATTAAAGCTTTAAAGCAAAGTCAAGTTAGGGTTGTGTATTACTCAAAGCTTTGAAGCACGAGTGTTTGTGTTACTTGATTAAAAGCTGTGAAGCAAAATCAAGTGTATGTTCTGAAGAGTGTCTTCATAATTTCATTAGTCAGTTGTTTAATATCACTGCTGTGATTGAGGGGGAGTGAGTAGGAACTCAGGTTTAAGTTGAACTTAGATTGAAGTTGCATTGGGTAGGTCTTAAGTGAAGGAGATAAACTGGTTGGTTTATTCATGAATTAATATCTCTTATAGTGGATTTCCTCCCTGGCTTGGTAGCCCCCAGAGTAGGTGTTGTTACACACTGAACTGGGTAAACAATTGACTGTGTTATTTACTGCTTTTAGTTTTACTGTCTTGAAGAGTGTCAGATATGGTGTCATAACATTCACTGTGACATTAAGTATCTGCAGCCAGAATTTCAATTGGCATCAGAGCAGGCACCCTGCTTGTCTTACTGGGTGAGATCTATGGATATTATTTTCTGGCGCTATGGACAAAGAAGGAGGTTTTGGAAACAGACCACCCATTCTGGATGGATCAAATTATGACTATTGGAAAACTCGTATGATTGCCTTCTTAAAATCACTGGACAAAAAGGCTTGGAGAGCTGCTGACAAAGGATGGAACCATCCCACCATAACTGGGAAAGATGGGACGACCATTCTGAAACCTGAGGAAGAATGGAGCAAAGAAGAAGATGAGTTAGCCCTGGGTAACTCCAAAGCATTAAATGCCTTGTTCAATGGAATTGATAGAAACATATTCAGACTACTATATCAATGTGAACTGGCCAAGGAGGTTTGGGACACTCTCAAAACTACCCATGAGGGCACATCCAAAGTAAAAATGTCAAGGCTTCAGATGCTGACTACCAAATTTGAGAACCTAAGGATGATGGAAGATGAGACCATTCATGAGTTTCACATGAACATCTTGGAAATTGCCAACACCTCAGGAGCATTGGGAGAAAAGATGTCAGAAGAAAAGCTGGTGAGAAAGATTCTCATATCCTTGCCTAAAAGATTTGCAATGAAGGTGACTGCTATAGAGGAAGCTCAGGATATCTGCAACTTGAAGGTGGATGAACTCATTGGGTCTCTTCAGACCTTTGAGATGGGGATCAGTGACAATGTTGAAAAGAAAAACAAGAGCATAGCACTTGTATCTAATACTGAAGATGAAAACAAGGAGGATGAAGAAGAAAATATTTCAGAAGCTATTGCCATGCTTGGAAGACAGTTCAACAAACTCATCAAGAGAATGGACCCAAAGTCAAGGTCAAATGTTAAGAACTTTCCTTCTGACATCGACAGATCCTATGACTCCAGCAGAAGACCAAAGTCTGAAGAGAAGGGAAATCAAAGCAAAGGAATTCAATGCCATGGATGTGAAGGATATGGGCATATTCGAGCTGAATGTCCAACCTTTCTTAAGAAACAAAAGAAAGGAATGTCTGTTACTTGGTCTGACTGTGACTCAGAAAGTAATTCTGAAGAAGAGTCTTCCAAACTAGTTACTGCACTAACTGGTATTTGTGACTCTGATAGTGACTCTAGTGATGAGGAAGTGACATTTGAAGAATTGGCTGACTCCTACAAGAATTTATGTATCAGAAGTGCTGAAGTCTGTCAGCAAAATGAGAGACAAACAAAGCTCATAGTAAAGCTGGAGGCTGAGAAGAAGGCAGGCATTGATACTATAAGTCATCTAGAAGGGGAAGCTCAAATGCTAAACTCAAAACTTGACCAGATGACCAAATCTGTCAAGATGTTGACAAATGGAACTGACAAATTAGAAGAAATCCTTCAGGTTGGACAAAATGTGGGAGACAAGTCTGGTCTGGGATTTGTGGCAGCAAAGAAATCTATTGTAGACAAGAAGAAGATCAGGCCTGATAAACAAATGTCAAAGCAGATGTCACAACATAGCACTCAACATCGAGAACAGAGAAATATGAAGAAAAAGTATCAAAGATGGAGATGTCATCATTGTGGGAGGTTTGGTCACATAAAGCCATTCTGCTTCAAATTATATGGATATCTTAATCAGACCCCAGTTGTAAAACCTAAGTCTAACAAGGCACCATATACTCAACAGTGGAAGAAAAAGGCTACTGCCCTGATAGCTCACACCTCCCTTAGAGTCTCTGCAAAGGAAGACTGGTACTTTGACAGTGGATGTTCTAAACACATGAATGGAATCAAGAATCTTCTCAATAATGTTAAACCTCACACTACTAGTTATGTGACGTTTGGAGATGGTGCTAGAGGAGAAATCAAAGGAGTTGGAAACTTGGACTGCCCTGGAGTTCCAAACCTAAATGAAGTATTGCTGGTAAAAGGCTTGACTGCTAATCTTATAAGTATCAGTCAATTATGTGATCTAGGATTCAAGGTCAACTTCACCAAGTCAGAATGTCTTGTAACTAATGAGAAATAAGAAGTTGTAATGAGATGTGTCAGATCTAAAGACAACTGCTACTTATGGGAATCTGAGAACACTAATTATTATTCTGTGTGCTCTATTGCCAAAGAAGAAAAGGAAGTGAAACTGTGGCACCAAAAACTTGGTCATTTACATCTAAGA